CGCCTTTTGAGGGGCGGATAAACCTCCGTGTGCCAGGCCAGCGCGTTTCACTGCAAAGGCAGATTTCTCTTCCCGAGTGAAGGACAAAAGATGCGGTTTGTGTGTCTGTGTGCGCAGGGGCGAAGGACAAAAAGCGGCATTCAGGGAGCGTCCACAATGGCGGAGAATGGGCCCAGTGTCTCGTCCAGTCGGCTGCACCCACACCGCCGCTTGGGCCCCGCTCGCAGCACCGACGTGGAGCTGCCCCCGGCTCTTTGTCTTTCCAGCCCCGCACAGACGGCAGGAACAGCCGCACACTGAACCCTTTGGAGATGAGGAATGCCTCATTATGCTAGGAGGACTAATTAAGGGCGAGTGTTGACATATTTTGAAAAGGAGCTCTGCCGAGGCCTTGCACCGGGGACAAAAGAGCAGCGCGGTGGTTGGAAAGCAGAGCCCCCGCAGTCCCAAGGGTACGTTAGGAAGGAGAGAACGGGACGGGATTGTGGAGGAGGCAAGAAACACGGAGCGGAGTGTCCCTGCCCGGTGCCTGGCTGTGGCTTTGCCCTGCCTTGGGCCCCTCCAGAAGCGGCACCCGTCGGGATGGCGGGGCTTGGAGCTATCCAAAGCAAACACCCAGCCGAGCAGCCAGCGCCGTCCTTCCCAGCGATTCACTGCTTGCACCTGCATGCTTTTTAATAAGGGGGTTTGGGGTGGGTTTTTTGTTTGTTTTTTTCAATAATTAGTGATGCACTGTAAAACATTTCGATTAACCTGAATTGAACTGCCACAACTAGCTAGTTCACATTAATTAATGGGAAATCCACTGCGAATTTGCAAGTGCAATCAAAGATAATTCGAAAAGCAAAGGTAATACTTTGTTGAATGTCGTCTTCACGTGGGACCTGCAATCCCTTAATCGTAACAATTAAAATCACATTCTTCTAAAACATTGAATTAAGATGGTTAGTCTCAGAGTTCAGTGAAACTGAGTAAAAGAAGTAAAATCTGACCCTTGACAGTTATAATTTCTTCCTCTTTGAAATGTACATCACAATGCACTAAACCTTTTGAAGGCAATTTGGATTAATCGTTAAGTTTTAACTGGATGAGATCTAATTACAGCTCCTGTCTATGAATCTTCAGGGAAAATAGTAAGAAAGTTGCCTTTTGTTTTAGTGTAAAATATGTGGAGTCTTATCTTTAAAAATACAGATTTTTGAGATTCTATTCTCCCTGATTTTGTTTAATATTTTAAATAACTTTGAAATTTTTGGATAAAGGCACTTTTTTTTTTTGTTAGAAGCATTACTTACTCTATTGAATGAGGTTTTATGTATTTACAACTTAATAATACCGTACCACTGTTGAAGAGTTCAAGGAATTCGCAAAGCTCTAGGTAAAGCTTCAGAAGGTTATATTGCAGTAGTGGACTGTTTTATATTTTCTTTCAGTATTTTAAGTACTTTGGCTCCATTTCATTAAACACAGAAGTTCAGTAATATGCTTAACCCTTGCTTGGGGGGCCCTTTCTGCAAAAACTTTATAGACCCAAAGGTAAGCATAGAAGGAGGCAAGGTTGGACTTACCTGGTGTAATGATGCAGGCTTCCCAACAGTAATCACGTATTGATTTAGAAGATTAGGTCTATTACTGGAAATCAGAGTACAGCTGGAGACATGCTGACCTACTACAATAGGAACCAGTGTCCTAGTGAATGTAGTGGTTTCTTAAAAGCTCTTCTAAGTACAGCTGTTCTCCCTCAGGACTGAAACTATTGACAAAGCACAGGAGTAAGAAAAATCTTAAGGAAGATATTACTGTGTCTTCAACTCCAGTAGAACGTAAAAAATCAGTTTTTCTTAAAAGCTGGAAATTTTCAAGTTAGAGTGTTGTTAAAATCAAGACGTCACTAAAATCCTTTTAGACTCTGTGCATTTCATACAGCTTATTCTCTGGCAAAAAATAGTACACAAGATGAACAGAAGCAAATGGTCCTTTTCTTACTGTGTAGTGAATAGAAGCAAACAGCCCCGACAGAGTTCTCTGAAAAAATTCTAACAGGGTATTCATGAGATGAATACAACCATCTCATGCCCCCTTTGTCAGGAGAGATCAGATGCACTGGCGTGGAAGATAGTAACAACCCCTGAGTTTGCTCTATAATGTAGGAGTGAATCTCAGTGTTGACAAAGTAAAGCAGTGTTTTAGCTGTCACCACCCATCCCGTCAAGGTCACAGAAGAACCAGTGCACATAGTGTATCTAAAAACAAGCAGAACATTAATTTTGAAGGGATATTTTTAAACCATGTATTTAAGGTTAACCCGTCCCAGAGAAAGCCATCAGCTACCTATAATTAAACATCAGCACACTGGCTATATTGATTGACCTTAACTTGAGATAGCAGTTGTTGCCTGAAGCCTGAAGTAAGCGTATGCATACAGAGCTGAGGCAGAATGGGAAGGAAATGGGACTGTGAAAGAAATAGGAGAACAGAATCTGGTTATTCTGTACTTGGCAATTCCATTGACAAAGACAGCACGTTCCTCTGCACAGTGTCCTTTTCCCACATGTTCCTTGCAGGAATGTTAAACCTTGTAGGCTGTCACACAGGGAGAAATAGCTTAAGGAACCAAATGTTTCTGGAAAGTCTGCTGTGCAATAGGAAAGTGAGTCATTGTTTTATGGGAGATGTTGGGTGAATCAGTACTCATGAAGAGGGTGTTACCCCCATGCAATGACAGGAGTATCCATACATGCCGCTGGACTCTTGGTCAGTAATTCATAGAATCATACAATGGTTTAGGTTGGAAAGGACCTTGAAGATCATCGAGTTCCAACCTCCCTGCCA